TTCCCCCACTGGCCCTAATCCTCTTCTGTACAGAAAGGCCCATAATCAGCTAAAAAAAAAATAAAATAAAATCAAGAAAACTAAATCTACACCAAACTACAGTGTGCAAGCAGATCAGCATCACATAATCCTCACACACATATTCCAGCATTTTTGGCATCAGATAATACAAAAAAATAAAAATAATAAATCAGAGTCAGGAGAAGCTCCTTTACTAACAGTCCTGAACAAAGGGTCTGAATCTAGCGGGAAAAGTTCAGCTGATTTTGATAAACCAACCTGAGAGGCAAGCGGGCATTGATGCCCTTCAGGTTTACAATTAATACATTCATTATATTTTGGCCTGAAGTCTGAAAAAGACCAGATGAGAGCGGAGATTTAAAAAAAAAAAGAAAAACACGTCACAGCAGCAGAAAATTAAAACGGCTATAAGCATTGTAGCACTCATGAGCGAAAAAAACGTTTAAAAGGTTCATACAGTTGAAAGGTTGAGTGTTTGCACCACTGTAAACAAACATTTCACACACAGAGCAGCAGCATACAGCAGCCTGACCTGAAACTATTCACACCCCATTCAACAGAAATCAGTTTAATTTACAGATAAAACAACAAATACTGTTTTATAATTGGGATGCTGAAAACTGTTGCACTGGTTTGTATTCAGACTGTTTCTTACATTTTGTTAAGATGAGGGGAATGAAACCACAAACGCAGCTCTTCTCTCAGCGCTTTATCTGTGGATATTTTTTGTTTTTATCTTTTAAATGTGTGCTGCTCTATTGCATGAACTCTTCCACTCATACTGACCCCATTCATTCAATCAATATACATGCAGATGCAGGGTTTCTGGGCAACCAACAAAACCGCAGCCCCTAATGAAGCAACGTGTGAAAAGTTCAAAGGGTGTGAATACTTTTGCAAAGTATTGGAAATGATCATTAAATTGGAGAAACTGGAGACGATTAATGACAGTTTAACAATGTAGCCCAGTGGTGACCAAAGGTCTATTTTTTTCCATTTTGCTCGCGGGCGTAATTCTCCCTCCCGTGCTGCGGTGGCGCTAAACCTATTTTGCCCTCTTACCTCGCTTCCTGGTTATCCTCCAGCAGCAGTGTGTCAGTTGATGGTCTGTGCTACACGCTGTGGGTCTAGATACGGCCGAGGCGGTGAGGAAGTGGGGGCGAGTTTAGTCCGACGACGGAGGGACATGACGGCGAAAAATAGCGGGTCCGGTGTGAACGCAGCATAAGTTGCAATTAAAAAAGATAAATCAATAATCCATCAGCGCTCAGCGAGGCAGAGAGCGCGCTCCTATTAGACCTTTTATAAACACAAGTTCCAGGAATGCTTGGAGAGAAAGCAGATTAAGACTGAGGCACAGTAAAGGCATCACATGGATTCGGAAGTGGAACCAGTTTCACCTGCAGCAACCTGCAGCTCCGAATACCTTCAAAGAGAAGCAGCAAATCTAAACGTTCAGATTTCACAATACATTTGCTCAGAAACAAAGAAACAAACAAACTCTTTGTTCTTGTGTTAACTCTGATTTGATGCCAGAATACATATATTTGTTTTAATCCAGAACAAAACCCAAGTGCTGAATTTAGATTTACTCGGTAAGATAAATACACGTATGATCCTCTGCCCCTCAGCCAGGTTTTTGCACTCCAGGCCACGTGGCATCCAGCTCAGTTAAAATTTATGATCAGATTCAATGCTAAAGCTAAGGGACAAGCTCATTATTGCTGAGTCATTTTAAGGAGGGAAGGATATTCTTTGTCGTAGTGAAAAGCAATCAGCTTTTAACTCTTAAGAAACTTAATTTAGTGGAGTTTGGGATATTTCTTTTCTGTCTTTGTGTGTTAGAAAATGTCACAAAAACTTCTTTTTACAGAAGATTTAACAGAAAGCTTCATTTCTAACACCTAGTGGTTTGCTTTGCACCAACAGCGCAGCAGCAGGACAGGCAGGGCTCTGGATTACATTAGTGTCTGAGGGTCCTTCTTCACCGTACCTTTAGATTGCCCCTCTGGGAAGAATAAAGTTTTACTGAATTAAACCTAACGATAGACGTAACATTCACATAAGCCGTAAAAAACACTAATAAATAAAGATTGTGCAGCATAAATAAAGATATGTGCAGCATAGATCCACATGAGTACCATTAATACAATCATCAGAAGAACTTTGTTTGAAGAGGAGGAAGGCTGGCTGATCAGCAGAGTCCGTAACAAACCGCTCCAAGCTCTAACACCAATCAGGAAGAGGTGAGTTTAACTCAAACATATGATTCAAATGTAAACTAGAGAAATACCAGCAGATTATAAAGCAACGTGTTTCTGTAGTCGTTATATTGCACTTATAGCATGTAAAGTTTGAACCTCCCAGTCTAGGTCCAGAAGAATTAAAAGGATCGTCAACAAAATTCATTAAAAGTAAACCACCAACTAAAAACATTAAAAATGTACATTTGTTCTTCGGAAAAACAAAACAAAAAACACACAAATTAAAGACAGAGCAGCAGGGAAAAACGTCCTCTAGTCAGTCTAAGCATATCTCTGAATGATCTGTAAAAACGCGGCGGGGAGAAGCTGCCGCTCTAAAGCTTCTCTTCTCTTCTGTAGTTTTGAAGATTTAAAACTTGATTGTAAACAGGCTCCATCTCATCGTCTTCCAAACAGAACTACAACCATAAAACACCGGTTTGGAAGCATTAACTGTAGGTGCAATGAAAAACCTTCCAGCTTTCAAGTGAAAGGAATGTTAGCTTAAAGTAATCCCGACTTGAAGCCCACTAAATCTGAAACTTAAAGTAAACCGATGAAGCTTCTGTCTTTCATTACCTTAAAATATGCAGCAACACAAATGAAAAGTAACAATCAATGATTTTCGACTGCAAACAAAATGTTAAAGTCGTTCTAAATCAAGCTGCTTTGATTCGATCAGTCCTATTTGTTCCCCGCTCCTGTAACACCTCGGCCACAACGCGTGACCCCCCCCCCTTCAACCTTTATTGGCAACGTTTCATCCAGTTTTTCTTTTTTTTGGACCCTACTTTTTAGAGAGTTTACCAGCCTTCTTTTTTGGCTCGTAGGGTGTCCGTAAAATGCTCGGCGTCTCCTCCATGACGCGTACCAGCAGGTTATCGATGTAGTCTTCCAGCTCCCGGATGTGGGCGTCTTTCTTCTTCACCACTTCTTTCTGCTTGATGAGTTCCTGGACTACTTCCTCAAAGGTCAGGTTGCTGTAGTTAGCGGCGCTCTCCTGGGGAGCCTCCTGTTAAAGAAAAAAGCCGAATCATCGAA